GAAGGGAATAAGAAAATATTTATCCTGCTCTCGACTTATGCCACCAGTCAGATATAATCTCTTGTTGGTTATCTCCACTGTCCCCATGTCTATTTTTGCCGAACTATGTCTAAATCCGAACGCGTTTCTTAAATCTGTCGCCTCCTCTGCTTCTGCAAGGTGAAGCCCCTTACAGTAAAGTGTCCAAGTGCTCAGCCGTCTGCTTCTCTTCTCCACAAGCTGCACACACCGTATCCACTTCCTGATATCTAGCTTCATATGCCCTAGTCCTCAACACTCCCGTCCTCGCTCGCAAAACATGGAGCTCCCTCTAAAATTGTCGAACATATCTTCTGTAAAGCCCAAGGCAGGCTTAGTCTGCGTGCCTGCTTCCCATATTTGCCCCTCACATTCTTTAACTTTCTTCTTAACCTTTATTTTCTCATCCGCCTCCCCACTCTTGCCCATAAATTTACATCTAAGTTTTCTAGTCCGCTTTCTACATTTTGTATCGACGCTTTTGATGTGTAAATAGCTAATAACTCTTTGTGCCCATCGTTCTGGAACTATTCCTCTCAGCGTAACCTCAATTTCTATCTTACTGCTTGCTACCCAGCCCTCGAATGAGGACCATCCCATATCGCCCTGTAGACCTTGGTTCGGTGTTTTATTATGTGCTCCCAGAGTCATTCTACCTAATCTACGTTGCTTTACTTCACACCTTGTCTGGACGTCTAGTTTTATGAACAAAACTGGACAACTGCGTTATTGTTTGAAACCGTACGTGGGCGCATTTGGGGGGTAAACAAACGCACCAGGTACGCAAGGAGCAGCCGAAGTTACACGCGGTGTTGCATTGTACGGAGGAAGCTTGCCGAGTCATAATAATAAGAAAACAACAACAGACGTTTGAGCACTAAGATGAAGTCTGTGATGATACTCATGGTTACGACATCCTCGGTGGGACTGCCTTTTAGTTTGTGTAACGGGCCAAAATTCTTGATCGTTCATGTTTTTGCTCTTTCATTTGTTCAGCTCTCTCCCTAAATCTCAGGGATCGGCTGTTCAGGCACTCTGCGGGAAAATAGACGCACTGGTAGTTTTAGTTAATTGAATTAAGTCAATTTTTTTCTTATTATACTGCAAGATTGTGTGCCCCCCCCCCCCCCTTCCCTTCCCCCTCACTGCTTGCATATTCTGTAGATATCATATAAAATAGGCGTAAATTTATTTCGACACAAAACCATGAACGCATACAGCATTCGACTTTTTCTTTTTTTTATAACTTTTCAGACGTACATTTTTTTTTTCATGCCTTTACTGCCTTACTACGTTAATCCTTATCTAGCACCGCTTCTTCATCATTTGAGCACGGATTCAGGCTATCCCCATTTCCACCCCCCTGAGATGCCCCAGATCGAAAAGTACAAATTGCAAAGGACAATTCGCAAACTACTGGGACAGGTCTGCTTCAGTCCACGACTCCCCAAAAAGCTCTCCCCATACCAGCCCGCTTTTCCCTATTGTTCTATTCCCTTTATTTAGGATGTACAGAGTAGATCTACGTTCTCGAATATGGTTCGTGTTACTGCATGAACGCGTACGTCTATGGATTCGTGGAAGTTTGGGAGGGGGGAGACGGAATGAAAATATAGTGCCTAGATTTCTGCCATTAAATTGCAAACGCTTTCAACTGTTTCAGTTGCTCTCTCTTTCTCAAATCTGGGCTTTTTAGTTGAGAAACAAGTTCCCGCGCGCCTTGGTGAGACTCGAACTCGATTTTAGAACCCCCTCCCCCTTCTCTTAAATTTAATAGTGAAAAATGGAGTCCCACATCGACCCATCGCGCACTTAGAGCGACGACAATTTCTACAACTTCCGATATTTACCAGTTCCCCCTTCTTCAACTCTCCCCCCTCCTCGCCGCTCGGAGCACGCACATTTTATCCAGTGAGTGGAGTTTGTATACTATCGGTTTTATCGATCACGTGTCTCGCGCCGTGCTCCGGCGCCCTCTGTAGGCGCGTACCGGAAATTAAGCACCTTTATTTTTCAACGGACGACTTTCACTTATGAAACCAAATGTACATTTTTATTATATTTTGTATATACTTCAATGTACTGTGATATGGGTTTGTAACGTACTATAGTATACTGTAATTCTGTACTATGGTTTTGTAACATGCAATAATATACTGTAATACTATACTATGGTTTTTGTAATATACTATAGTACGCTATATTACTATACATTGGTCGTTCAACATACTACAGTATACGATAATACTCTACTATGGCTTTGTAGTATATAGTATATAGTACGCAGTATACAGTATACTATAGTACACTATATTACTATACATTGGTTGTGCAACATACTACAGTATACGATAATACTCTACTATGGCTTTGTAGTATATAGTATATAGTATGCAGTATATAGTATACTATAGTACACTATATTACTATACATTGGTTGTGCAACATACTACAGTATACGATACTACTCCAGCATGGCTTTATAATATATAATATACGTTAATATTAGGCTATGATTCTGTAATTTATTAGGCTATAGTATGGGGGATGCCTCGAAGGCTGGGCGGCTTCACCTTTCCCGTCTGACCTCGCAGTTAAGAACTTCCACCTTGGCTACAAACCCATAGGACGCTGCAAAGTCGACCAATACAACCCCCTTTTTTTTGTTTTATTTTTTTATACTGACGCGCCTTGAGTGTTCTTAGATAATATACAATGATTCTGTAATTTACTATAATATACTATAATACTATATTATAGTCTTATACTACATTATAGTTTTCCTACTTTTATTCAACGAAATTTTGATTTTAAGTATATCGCGCGCTTTCTGAAACAAACAATGCCCAATGCACCTCGCCGCATTGGGCATTGAGCGGTTCATTTTTCTTTTTTTTTTGTGTGTGTGTGGGCGGAGTTTTTGTTACAGTCCTTATGTTCCGTGGGCAATGTCACGTGCCTCAGAGCACCAAACTCGTAAAGTCCCTAAAGGCAAATTATGACACGCATAGCGTCATGTCAAAAGAAGAAGAAAAAAAAGGAAAAAAAAACGAGGAAAAAAAGACGCGGCATTTGCATCGTTTTTTTTGTTGATGGTCGATATTTGTGGTATGTTGCAGGTCAAGAACATCAGTGCGCGCCCTTCCCGATTGGTGGAAAGAACACGTTGACTGATTAACTATACTCACAAACACTTTAAGAAACGTAGGGTAAGACGAGTCCCAAGCGTATTATTATTTTCACTCCGCAGCCAATGCGAATGCTCCATTAGGCGAGAAGAACACCAGAGAACGCATTATAAAGCAAAAAGTACGAGCGCAATAAATCACGCCTTGCGTTTTTTTTTTTTTTTCAGTCCTCAGTGATTATATTTTTTAAAATACAAGCATGTCATAGTAAGGGGGGAGTCACCACCTCAACTGGCTTAGATGCAATAAGATTGATCATGGTCACAGACAGATTAAGAACTGCCGGACGTTGACTGTTATGATCATACTTTTTGAGTCATCGTAAGCTCTTTTGCTTTACTCATTTTTGCTCATGCTGCTGTGTGATTGGCAGCGGAGATGATAAGATGTTCGGCATTCGTTATGTCCTGAGTTTCTTCAGCTGTCTGGGACCATAGGGGAAACACAGACGTCAGGTTTGACCACCCTCGTGCATAACTCGACAACTCCACAGAATCTACGATAGTTTAACTACTTATTTGCATTAGCTTTCGTTACATATTTATTTCGGTAGTCAGTAGATTGCTTTCAAATGCCAGTGGTGGGGTGCATTTTCAATGGGCAAGAGCATGCTTGAAGAGACAAGAAATGTAACATCGTTTTTATTGGTTGAAGCTGAGGCAAATCTCCCGATGGTCGTGCCTTGGAATTTCATCTGTTCCGGGCTTCTGCAAGTTTATTTATTTTTTTTTCTCGTTAAAGTCTGCCGAGTTTGAGTCCCGGGGCCGGTTTAAGGTACGGGCTACAGGGGCTGCAGCCCTGAGCCCCAGGCTGTCACGGGGCCCCGTGCTGGCCCCTGAAAGTTTTAAAAATGTTTGTTGTTCTCTATTTAAAACAGCTCAGAAAAGAAGCAAAAGAAACACTCAGAAGGGCCTCTGACGCAATGGCCTTCTCGTTCCGTTTTTTTTCAAAGGCGGAAACAAGGATGCCGTAAAGCTTCCATCTCTAGACAAGCTGGCGTTTGTGAGCTCGTTGTGCAAGAGCGTGCCAGAGCAACGAAATGTAACACGGTCTCCCATGCCCCTCGTTAGATGTGTCAAAGCTGTCGACGCTCGCCGGTTCCGTTCAAGTATTTTCCAATTGAAGCTCGATAGACGGACGGTCATGGGGTTCTCTTTCGCACCGGGGCCCTCTTGGCGTGTTCTACGAACAATATTAGCGCCGAGATATTTCGGTGGCGCCCTCTGATGGTTTCCCTCCGTGACGTCACGACTGGGATTTGCCTCGCCGTGACGTCACCCGTTGTTATTCTGGCTACTTACCATCGGGTGCGGCCTCGAGCTCGATGGCGTGTTTAAAAACCACAGTAGAAGCTAGGAGCCATCGCAATCCGAAACTAACGCCGTCAAAGTTGACAATCTGACAGTGCTCATATGCCCTATGGTTTGGCCAATCGTGGAAAGCTGACCACAGCGACGCTTTTGGCCGCGCACATTGCTAATTGGCCCGGAAGTTAAGCAAGTCTTGCCAAAGACTACTCACATATGTTGTTTTGAACCTTTTTAGCGACACTTTATTTAGAATTTATTCCAGAACGACAAGTGTACAACAAGCTAAAAGGTGCCCGGAAATCTTCCGGGCGCAGTCTCCATAACCACCAAGAAACAGGCGTTTCAAGGAGCCGTCTCTTCAGGCACTCCTCGACAGTTCTCGATGGGTGCTGACTGCAAGCGAATGCTCTAGAGTCGGTGTCTGGTCTGCCGGTGCGACTGAACACTCTTTCTTCCACCGACTGATACGAATTCTGCAATGGTCTCACCATCCTGTGAGGTATGACCTCTCTTTATTTTTAACTTTGAATCATACACTCAGCTGGCCGTTGAGGTCTTAATTACTGCATTTAAAAGAGAAAAGATTGCTACTAAATTTGATCGAAACATTTTCTATATTCAAAAAAACAACGTGTAAATACAACAACTCAAAAATATATTTTCCATTTTCATGGTCCATTCTTTAATAGAAATATGCACAAACGATAGTGATCGATGTATTAGAATCTCACACAAGTTCACCTGTGGTTCGAAGTTTGAAGTTTATTTCTTTGGGATCAACCGAAAGGAGAACAAAGACTAGAGGCAAAAAAAGAAGCCCCACGAAGGTTTTTGTCCTCTTTGCAGTTCGTACTCACGGTACACAGTATAATAAACTTCGTACAGTTGTATACATCAGCGATTCAAAACAATGTTATGGCTTTGTATGGTATCATCAAGAGAGGATCATAGGTAGTAATATAAATTATGAACGATACTATTTTCATACGTTCAAAAGCAAAACCTTCACTTTATACATGTATAAAAATGGCTATAAAACAGTGTCACTGCCCACGAAAAGTGCCCTGAGTTCAATCTTTAATGTAGAAGTCTGTGTTTGATTGTGAAACAAGGGTTCAGTTATTAGCAGAGCTTTTAAGAAGTAGCTTGAAACCAGAAAGACAGCTTCAATTAACGAAATCTCCTTCTGTAACAGAAGGAGGGGTATTCCAAATAGTGTGTAAAGTTCTCCATGAAAAGTCAGTGAAAGCTTGGAACATGTAGGACCATAGCCTCCTATATACGACAAAGCCTGGCAGATCGTCACGAGAAGCGGCCGTCGAAATGGAAAAGGTGGAGCGGCAGACGACGAATGAGGGAAGAGCCACGTGGCTGGCGCCCCGCTGCGGCGAGACGCCGAACCACACTTCTCCCGAGCGAACAAGTGTGTTTCGGGTCCTCACCGCTGCAAAAGCTGTGCGCTAACGTCCAGTTTCCCCGGGAAATGGTTCTTTGATGCCCTGTGCTACCAGATCCTCGCGCTCCAAATCTGCCATCGGGCACTCTATGGCTCCGTCGTCGAGCTGCCAGGTTTCGTGAGAGCGAACTGTCATAGTTTAATCAATGGGGGGATCAGTGGCCGAGTGGGCTAAAGCGCACACCCAGCTCGGGGCACGTGGAGCGAAAGCTCGCGCTGCAGAACCCAGGGATCCTGGGCTCGAGCCCCACCCCTGCCCGTTTCGATCTGGATGAGCATCGTACCGGCGTGCGGTCGTGTATCACTACTGCGTGGTGCACGTTAAAGACCCCAGGCTAGCGGTTGTACTGCACTGGCTAAATTGCTCATCTACAGCAAATGACTTGTCGCAATTTTAAATAGCTGACCAACTACACGCCGTATAAATATCCCCATAACCCAATTTTAATCAATGGTAAGCGAAAGTCTCCTGAAGAGCAGACAAATAGCTCCCACGAAGGATCTTGCGAAGTTCCCAGCGGGAGTAACGGGCCACCTCTTGTACAAACTCCTTCCGCCGTCGAGAGTTGAGATTCAGGTAGGTGTCGTAAGAGGTGCGAGTCGAGATGGGTCCGATGATCAAGGAGTTTAGGCTAGTCACGCTGGCTCTGATATCGCTCATGTTGAACAAAGCTTCTGCGCTCGTGACCGTGACTTCAACCCAGATGTTCTTGCGCGTTCCAGCCAAGTCGTCCCCCCGAGTCTGGAAGCAAAGAGGGAGAGAGAGAGAGCGCGGTCAGCTAGGTTACAAGAGAAGAATTGTCAACGCTAGACGGCGAGCAAGTGTTCTAAAATGCGTCCTTGGCGCATTGAAACGCGAAGAGGGGCACTATACGCCATACGGCTGCCGAAGCGTTTATGGACCGTGACACTGCAGAGCGACCTGCAGCCGATCACAGCTGTTGGGACGCCGCCAGGATCGCGAACGGCGACAGCATAACATTTCTATGACGTCATCAGGCGGAAATCGAGGGACCAATTTTTTTTTACACCATTCGGAGACGCATTCCAGGCAGCATAGTTTTACTGCACTCGTTTGTATATATTTAAACGGTACACCTTCTGAAGGGACCTTGAAGCGATAAATGCCTCTCACTTTCTATAAGCTTACTGGCACTGTAGGAACCAATGAATACCCGAACGCAACGGCACTGACCGAGAAGCTCCTTCGTTGCGGTAGAATTAGAAGGATAAAAGTTGACGTTTTCTTTCAATCTATCCTTCGAAGTACCTGATGACGAAGTTGCAAGGACAACGCCAACAATGCGATCCCCGGTAGTTTTTATCGATCTTTGCAATCCCCGATGTGACGATATTGGAGAGTTTTAGTAGATCGTTCCCATGATTCCGATAACGATACCCGATACTCCGCCACCGCCTCCCTTGTGCATGCATAGTAGAGAGTTTTAGTAGATCGTTCCCATGACTCCGATAACGATATCCCGATACTCCGCCACCGCCTCCCTTGTGCATGCATAGTATCGTTATCGGGGCTATCGGAGGTATCGGAACGATCTACTAAAACTCTCTAATATCGTTATCGGGGCTATCGGAGGTATCGGAACGACCTACTAAAACTCTCTATTTAAATGCGGCTAATGCTGTGCACTCTAGTACTGACTAGACATTCCATTGGGGCTCGTAACAATCAATGCCCCGACATGCATTCGAATAGTGGCTCGTGCCCAGTTGCCACGACGACGACAAACTCAGCGCGCTCCGTGAGCTTTTAAAACTCCAGCGCGTGGCCATGTTAAACATTGGCCCCATTTAATCGGCTGCAGATTACCTGGCCGCTCGTTCTGCCTGCTAGTTGAGGGGAATAAACGCTGTTCATTTTCCTTAAAAAAATGTTTTTGCGACTGAATTTGCTTGCAGAAGAACGGGAACGCGTGTCTCATCGGTCATGGATGTCGAGGAACAATTCTAAGTGGTATATTTACTGAAAGTAGGAAGACCTGTTGTACCCCCTCTGTAACATCTTTTTTATCTCTTATGTTTACTACTCGCGTTCCTTTTGTATTCTCGTGTGCAGTGATAGGCGAGTTGTTCCATAATCTCTGACCGTTTAAGAAATGCAGGGCCTATTATATGCTCACGCATCTTGCTTCGTAAATCCTTCCTCGGCATTCTAATGGGCTAATGCCGCCACCTGATTGGCTGAGAAGCGAAAATCAGACGCTCGGGTTTTAGAAGCAGTCCGCGACTATGGCTGATGCCGCGTATCGCCGTTCCATGTACGGTTCGTGTTTGATCAAGGAAGCACCAATTCAACGCAAGTCCTCCCGAACGCTGTAGCAGCACTCTTGTTCAATCTATGCTTCGCGTTCGATCGAGCGAGATGACGGAAATAATTCAGTCCATACGCTTTGTGTTGGGTAAACACTGAGCTTTGTGCAAAACAAGCTGGCCAGAGCGCCTCCTATAGTCCCATCTCGTCGTCAATGTCATCTTCAAGAAGGTTGATTGTCATACCTGCGCGATGTATGAAACCACGAGTCCTCTCAGATCAACTTGGCAGGTAGGTCGGACGCAGCTTCTGAGACGGCGAGTCACATCGTCCAGTCCGCTCACTGCTCCATCCGTTAGTTTCACTTGTAGGTCGCGGTTAAATAATCCATTGCTTGCAACCTTCATATATAAAAAAACGAAATTAGTCTAAACTTCTGCTGTTCAAGAAAAAGTAGTAAATACGTTACACTCTGAGAAGAAAAAAAAAAGATGTGTGTGTGTTCACTTTTCTGTAGAGAACGAGACAACAAACCACCGAAACCGATACTAGAATCCCACCGCTTGAAGCAGCACAAAATACGATTAGGCAAAACAAAAAATAAATGCGATGCGCCCCGGGACATTGAACATGACGTCCCACTTGTCCTTATTCCATAGCACGTTTTATCCAATATAAACGTCTGATGTGCTTCGCTTGGCGTTTCTATTACGAAAAAAAAAGAGCATTTCTGTGCGACTCCACATTACAGTCAAAGCGATGGCTGTGACATGTTATCGAGCCCTAATGTATCCTTTTGTGTCTTGCACTTGCACTTGTACATCTTCACCTTACGAATACATCAAAAGTGTCTCCAATGCTACCTGATAGATGGCGCCAGTGTGCCTCTGTGTCGCCCCGTCGTAAGCGGTCAAGACGAGGGAACAGAACGTACTCGATTGCACTCAAACGCAAATGTGTGAACCAGCCTTTAAGTTCGTGCTACACTAAAAAAAAGCCCGTGAGTCTGCTTTCCCCCAAAACACTCGGAGAGCCAATCACCGCAACTTACGGAGGCAGCTCAGCGAATGACAATGCCGAAACATATGTTTAGACCAAAAAAACGCAGTCTGGGTTGTGACATTAAGCAATGCAAGCGTGACGTTTTGCATTGCTTAATGTCACAACTCAGACTGCATTTTTTTGGTCTAAACATATGTTTCGGCATTGTCATTCGCTGAGCTGCCTCCGTAAGTTCCGGTGTTTGTCTCTCCGAGTGTTGTGCGGGAAAGCAGACTCACGGGCTTTTTTTAGAGTGTATAGAAGCAAGAAAGTAGTTGTCCTATTGAGTTTCAACTTTCGTTAATGATTCCAGTGTGCTAAAGCACCCACTTCAGCACTGGCTTTCGTAATACCCTTCTGGGCCTGTTTACTGGGGATTCTGATTTCAGGTGACCGGCTCCGTAGGGAAACGCGCCTATAGTGCTCCGGCCAATTTCGTTCAACAATCGTAAGCATTGCCTGCATTTTTCTTTAACACTTAACGTAAACTGCCGCAGAAATAACTTTACAAGCCCCTTCTAAATACTTGCTACGGCAAAAAAATATCGGGTGCATTTCAAGCCCCTTCAACCTCTTTCTACGCGCAAAAGAGAACTCGAATATTCAGAGCGAAAACCGACTTACGGTAGCCATTTGCCTGGAACGCTAGCTAATGAACAAATAGTAAGGGCGCAAACGAGCTGGTGTACATTGCACATGGTTGAAAAAAACCCGAGACTGCGGGTAAACGACACATCTCTACTTTTTAGTGTTGTGTCGTTTACCCGCAGTCTCGGGTTTTTTTTAACCACGCCAGCTAACTTTAGTTTTTTGTTCCCAGGGGGCCGGCCACGTGACCTCGAACTCTCTTTTGCGGCTATTTTAACCGATGGGCGAGCCACCCGCATTCACCAGCAAACCGGCACAGGGTCGGTGCAAGTTAGAGCAGCCCGTCTTTTGTCCAACGTACAATGAATAATGTCCCATTACCGTGAAGCTGTGGAAGGGAATGTGTGCCTCCAGATGAAGCGAACGTTTGTCCCTAATCACAGGCGGTTGATGCCTGCCAACGGCCTCGTCAACATGGGCGTTGAAGTCATTCACGGCCGCTCCATTGCCTAGAGAAACAAAAGGCATTCTTCACCACAGTCTGTGAAGACAAGTTACACTGTTTATGAATGAACGTTAATTTATGAATGTTTGTGAGGGACGCCGTCATTTTTAGCTCTATTGGGACGAACCCCCATCAGTTAACTGAGGTAGACCAGCTAAGTTGAACTCAATGACCGTTAGCGGCTGAATGACAGTTGGCGCCACTGTGTAACTCCGGCAGGTCGAAATTGAGTCAACTGTAGTTGGCTTAATGATTGTTAACAACGCTTGTCTAACTACGGTAATAGAGTGTTCCAACTTTGGATTATTAATCTTCGCCGTGAACCGAAAAACAGATGGAAAAGTTGATATATATATATATGTATATATATATATATATATTTTTTTTTTTTTTTTTTTTTTGTTTACGCATAAACTACTAATTGCCGAACGCTCATTCTCCGCTCAAATGTAGCGCTGCAACTCCGAACCAGATGCCAAGGTTTCAGAAGTAGCCGCTAACCTGTTCAAAAGTTACGTGAATTTTCTAAAAAAAAGAAAAAGAAAAACGAATGGAGAAATGGAGCCTCGCAACTTTTGAACCAGAAGTCGGTTAGTCCTGAAACTTTGCTATCATGTTTCGGACCGTTAGCATTGCACTTGGGCGAAGCATGGGCGTTCAGAGATGCATAGTTCATTTTCAAGGTGAAAGAGACGCTGTATTTTTTTTTTTTCAACACCTCCTACTTTAAGTTACAGACAACTTACAAAATGCAGCTTGTGGCTAATGCCACAGCCCATCCGCTAATTGCGCAACCTCACTGGCCGTGGAGCGACCTTAAGGTGTTTGGGAATCGAGGTTCACGTCGTTTCTTGAACTCTCAGTTACTAAGCCTAATGACTAGACGACTAGACGTTCAAACGGATCAGTATTTGACAATACCATTGAAAGCCGTATTTCGGAAATGTGTTCTTGATACGTAGCACAAGGCTTTCCGTAGAAAAAACCCGCGGTGTTCTGTTGGACATCGCTCAGGCTAGAACTGGCTACGAGATTTTACAAACCAGAAACTTTTCAGCCACATTTTTTTTTGTGCGATCTAATAAGAAATTATATATTGACTTACCAAATGTGCTTGCAGCGAGAAGGAAGGTAGCCAACCTCAACATATTTTTTTCAAAAGCGCCTGAATGCCTAAAAAAGAAACAGGAAGGTGATAAAAAATATACACACTCACAGGAATAAAATAGAGGTAGTCTGGACAGCGAGTGTCAGGCAACACTCGCTGTTCAGGCTACAGTTACTACAAAACAGTCACTACAAAAAAAAAAAAAAAAAAAAAAAAACACCATAAATACGAAAAATATAAACACAATATTAAACAGCCGTGCCTATAAATATACTGAACCTCAGCTTCAATGTGACAATCTATGAAAAAAAGCGTCTATTTTTTTTGCAAACCTTTTCTGAGAGAGTATCGCTGCAATTTTGGAGATGGGGCTCTGTATATAAGAAAACATAAAATATCTTTAAAAAAAAAAAACCGTTGCCCTTTACATTGAGCATGGTGAAACCTTATGCCGAGTGTAACAGCGCTGGCTGTCTTTTTTTAAGGTCTAATGATATTTTCAGCCACGCCATTCGCTGAGCTCTTTCAGCATCTTGCAGCAATTCGCTCTCTCAAGTGCTTTCCAAAAAGATAGGCGGACCGGTTTTCTCTTTTTGAGATTGTAATCGCCGAGAACTGAGGGAGAGAAGGACACGAGAGAGAACGTCAAAAGCTCTGATTGGAATGATGAGTGGGCACTGCACTCGTCGAACGCTTTCGAACGCGAGAACCAAACGCCGGACGCTGGCGTTCTGCGTTCAAAAGCGTTCGACGAGTGCGGTAGAGACAATGGCAGCTGTACCTTTCGCTCTACCCACTAAATCCACCAATCAGAGCTCGGCTATCTGATGTCCCCGGCTCGCTCTGGGCTCCTCCTCTCCCCCAGCTATCGGCGCCTTAAGTAAAACGCGACAAGGAGAAGCGTTCGGTGCTCACTGTGCAAGGATGCCAAATGCGGGAAAGGACCGGCTGTCCAAACGGAGACCTGGCTCCCTCTGAGCTTTCAAAGGAGACGTCGGGCGATTTTATATCATTCCGAGCTCCTTATCAAGCGTAATCCTATCCTAAGAGGTTGCAACACAGTGGCAAGTTATCATCGGGGAGGCGTCCCAAGTTTTGCTTCTCGTTTTGATATCAATCCTTCCGCATTTGTCGAACGTCCTCCGCCGGGCATGGTATATTTTTTTCTTCGAATAATAAGTTTCCTAAAACTAGGGAACTAATATATATCAAATAATATTGTTTCGAGCTATTTGTTTTTATTTTTTTCCTCTCTTTTATTACGTTTTTCTCTCCACTCTATACACAATATGCGCACCTATTTGGTGTTATGACTACAGTTCCTTGACCATGTCGCGCTTTATATTATAATTGTTAAATATGACACGCCAACTAAGGACCAACATTTTTTCCGGTTAATTAAGATTATTAATTAAATTATTTTTGTTGTATCTGTTTCTTGCTCACCTGCTTGCTTTAGCGTTTGCCACTATACCTTCAAGAGCGCCGTCGTATACTGCCTTGGACGTTTGGCGGAGGGACCCCTTGAGGCAGCACGCTTATTGTCCCCGCTTCCTCACCAGCATTGTCGTCAAAAATAAAAGTAGACTTTTTGCTGTTTTTATTTCTTTCAGAATACTTTTAAAGGCTCTCCAAGGGAGGGTATTACATAGGGGAGTGGAAGAGTATGTAAAAATACAGAAAGGAAGTAATGTTACTATGAATGTAAAACAAAATGAGCAAAAACACTCAAAAACGGTGACTGAATTTTGATTTTTTCTGCAATTCACAATCATAGCCCCCCGAAAATATATAAATGCTGTTTTTGTTTGACTGATGTTCGCTTGCTTGCTTTAACCATTGCCACTGCCTTAAATAGTGAATGTCTATACTGTCTTAGACTGTATGGAAGAGGAACCCCGTTAGGCAGAAGTGCCCTATTGTCCCGACAATTCGAATACGTTTTTTTTTTTTTTTTTTTTTTTTTCTATTCAGAATACCCATAAAGGCACTCCAGGGGAAGGTAATGCATGGGGGCAGGGGGGGGGGGGGGTACATAAGAACACAGAAAGTAATTATTGTATGTATGACTGCAGAACAAAATGGACATAAAACACGCGAAAACAATGAACAAGATATATAAGCATAGGCAACTAGTGAAGAAAAAAAAATAAAAACACTAACACTCGTTTTCACCTCAAGAAAAAAATCAAGTTTTTGCCTTTCATACGCAGTTCGACTTTGTTTCTGCGAGAATCGGTTTTCAGAGGAAGAAACGGTGTTTTTGGATTTTGAAACATCTACATCTTGATAATATAACAGATATGTAATCTGGAATACATCTACGTATACCTCAATTCTCTGCATAAAATGGAACATTAGTAATGCTCCGCGAGGAGGCAGACGTTTTCTTGTGCTCGGGCATTGTCGGGATAGAACCACCACTCCCCCTTTTCCTACGAATCGGTGCGTTTGTGCCTCTTTGAGTACAGAAAGCGTCGCAGAATTCCACTGTAACACACCCGATTCTCAAATTTACCAGGAGGAACACACTTTGAGTGAACAATGCGAACTAAAGAAGTTAAAAAAAAGCAAATCAGCATCGTGTTGACATTGGACTCGACCTAACGCGCTTTTTCGGGTCGTGGCGGACTTCAACTCTTGCACTGACTTGACCGTTGCTTTGTCTCAGGGTCGTATCCGTAGCTGCAGCTTTCGTCACCTGTAATGACATTGCAAAAAAAGTTTGGATCAATTTTCAGGTGTTCTTTCAGCTGTTGACAAGCGTGCACTCGGGAATGTATCTGATCATGAGTGGGGAGCAATTGAGGCACAAATTTGACTGAAACACTTTTTATGTTCACAATTTCGGGCAAAATGCGTTGACACAAACTCTAGGACACTCTACTCATTTAGCACGTTCTTTAATTGGTCTTGGACGCTCTGCCAAGACAAAATCCCAGATTTTGTCGATGTTTTCATTAGTTGAGTAAGTTGAGAAACCCCCTGAACGAGGTAGGTCGTCGATCAATAATTTACCGGCTTTGAAGCGAGAAACCCACTCTAGACTTGCGATTGTTTCATAGCAACTTTTCTATAAGCGGTCTCAAACATGAAAAGAGTTTCCGCCGCTGTTTTTTCTAAAAGAAAGCAAAATTTCTGGCCCCACGATGTTTCATGAAGTCAGGCGTTGCGAAGAACGAGGAATAATTTTGAAGCGCTTGAGGAAACGACGCCGGTCGGCAAACTGTCTCGGATGGGGAGCCACAAAAGCCCGCTAGCGGCAGAAGCTGGTACTACGAGCGGCCCGCCCTCCAGAAATTCATTCCGGTTACTTTTAGGTGCGCCCTTGTATATTTTTTGAGTCAAATGTCGCCAAAATTGATTGTTCTTATTGTGGCAGCATTTACGTTTCTAATAAACAATACGTGATTTTGACTGGAACCGACACTATTAAAGACATGGGGAGAGAATTTACTTTTTTTTTATTCGATGAAAGTTTGGGCAAACCAAAGACTGGACAAGGCGAAATCTACAATGCAAAATGACACCAATAAAAATTGCTCCTCAATCTGGACTTCATTATGCTGCGACGCCGTAACAAAAAAAAAAAAAAAAAAAAAAAGATGAATACAAAATTTTGTAAAAGTTTACCTTTGTTCAGTGCGGGGTTCTAGTTATAATTAGACGTTTTATACGCTCATCTAGATTAACTAACTATAATAATACAATTAAATGCATAGGTGCAAGCAAGCTGGACAAGAATGACGATGATAATCCCTGAAGAAGAACGAAAGGGACAAAGGGCAAACAAAAATCTCCAAACACAGCTAGGTCACTGGTGCGCGACCGGAAAAATCTGCCTGAACCTGGTATCGAACCCGGTACCTCTCCATTCCCAGTGGAGCGCTCTACCAACTTGGTAGAGCGCTCCACTAGAAATGGAGAGGTCCCGGGTTCGATACCCGGACCAGGCGGATTTTTTCGGTCGCGCACCAGTGACCTCTGTGTTTGGAAATTTCTGTTTGTCCTTTGTCCCCCTTGTTCCCCTTCTCCAGGGATTATTACCGTCACTGGATTAACTAAAATTGCTTTAGGCTGCCCTGGAGATAATCTTTGAAAGCGTCCAACAAAATAGCGGCGGCATGAACAAGTCTGACCATAAGCTTCTTGCGTTTAATTTATAATTTAAAGATTGCCACAAACGTACCTATATTCTGCGGTCTACTTCAAAAATTATCTGAGTGTTCTCATTTCATTCAGACACGGCTTTGAGTTAAAATATTTCATTTCGATGAACAAAATATATGTTTCGGGAGCTTCATTGAAATGAAACAGAGGGCAAGCCGGAACCTTGACAGATTTCTTGTTGTCAAGGTATTGACATTGGGGCTGCCAAAACGAAAGATGTCTTTTTTTTTTCTCAACCTGTTAGGGCACGCATGTTTGACATCTCGACATTCAGTCACTTCTCAAACTACCGCGCTGGGACTCTTCCATGATAGCCTCAAGATAGAATGCCTTATACTTGATGAATTAGAAAGAATCTCGTACTTTATAATAATTTAGAAAACAAAATTTCAATAATTTCTACTAGGTTGGATAATTGGGCTAATTGGTAATCATTGACATAAAATTCAGAGCACAAGACCAGGAATAGAAATGGACAGAAACACGGCGTTTCAGATTCAGCGACGTTTTTGTGTCCCTTTCTTGTTCCTGTTTTTTCTTTTTTTTTTCTTTTCGCGCGAAAATTGGGGAATAATTTTTTTTTTGTTGAATTTTGTCAAAGTTTACAAAGTTCTTACGTTTGAACTATTCAAGATTTTTTAATGACCTTGATATCATCGAAAAACTCGAACTTAGCTCTTTGTATTGCATGCACATTCAATATTAGATGTAAAAAAATAGAATATATTGTATACACCCGACTCAACAAACGTTTCAAAAATCTATAGCGAATTCGATATCGATTTTTTCAAAAACCCCATTTTGATTTGCTTCATTTTTTTATTAGTATCGAGGCGCGATGATGTTTTATTCATATTTTGTATTTTTTTTTATATAACCGAAAATAAACCTCGAGCTTTGTCAGATCTGCGTTCTAAATTGGCAAGCTTTGTCGCGTAGTAACTAAAATTTACACCGCATTACGCACAATTTCAATGCTCTGTGAGCCTACATACGTGTTTAGTTAAGCATTAATCTTAGCTAAATATTAACATCGAACCTCACTGTAGTTCATGTCCATGAAAAGTCTACGAAATGTAATTCCACGAAACGAGTTTCGACGATACGATAGGGACCCCTGGCTGGAGTGGACGCCCTCGCAATACGGGCCGCCACGTCCAACATAGGAAACACTTTCATTCCGGTACTTCAATGAAGTGGTTCGCGCAAAACGAAACTATGCAATGAAATACCGTGTTCTTTCTGTTCTTTTTTTTTTTTTTTTTGCTTTTTTTTAGATAAGGTGGAGGACGCAACGTTATCTGAAACATTCATCTACCGTTTCAGGCAACTCTGGACGCGGAAGCTCGCCCTCCTTAGTGACCATTTTGCAATAACACGCGGACACTACCGATAAACGGCCGCTGAAAACGAAACTATGCTCAACTTGCTTGTAGAGTGTGCAACCGGATAATATACGCTGTACAAGATGCTTGTAATATCACAGGAAACATAATGAAAACTCCGACTAAAATAAGGAAATGGTTCCGTTAAATTAAAATACGGACCAGCTTAACGGTTAAAAAACAGGTGCTTGTGTTATTCGTCATGAACACATGTTTTTGGTAAATAAACAGTCTAAATATGCTTGTTTTTCGGTGAAAAGAACACCGGATTATATTACGGTAGAAAATGTGGTTTTTATTTAAATAAGCACTCTAGAAAACGTCCCGTTATGTGTAAGAAAACAGCTTCTGTTCCCAGATCCCAAATATTTTTGGTGAATACACAGTGTACACAAACTCAGATTACTGGAAAGATA